ACAATATTCAGTTCTGTTATTTTCGTTGTTTCAAATATGCTGCCACAATTTCAGTGGTTTAAAATACGAAATTCAACCCTCTACATCCGGGACTAGCAGGATGAGCCATAGATTGCCGATAGAGTTCTCTTCGGGAACCGTGATCAAAATGGAGCAAGCGATCAGTACAAGTACTGATTGACTTGGCAGCAGATTTTTGTTGATTGTGTTATTTATGTTTCTTGTCGTTTACTGGTCAATACGATAACTTATTGCAACCCCAACTAGTAGGTTTTTATGTAATATAAAAATCTCTTTTAATTAAGGGGATGCTGAATATTATTCCTATATATATGAAACTAAATATGGTTAATCCCACTCAATATTTCAGTTCTTTGAACATGGCTGTAAAATTTTTCTTCAGCTCTCTGCAGATTATTCTACTTTGACTTACTATGAAAAATATATTATTTACATATTGTCATAAAGTGTTATCAGTATTACTCATTGTCCATTAATATATTTACTGTACATGCAGTGTAAATAAATGCTCCTGGATTATTACCATTGACAGTATTTCTGGCATTGTTTTTCACATCCTATAATCTATTTATTCATAATATTCCTCCAATCAGTAACTCTAACAGAATTATGAAGTTATGAATAATTATGAATAAAATATTTTTTGTCTGAGGGCCTTAGTTAAATTGGAGACGCTTTCATAAATTATCAAGGAATATTGTCCTTGAAACACCAAGGCATTTAGCAATGTATGCGACTGGCAAATGTGTGTCCAACAGATTTTTCAGTTTTTCTCTCTCTCTATTACAATTTTGGGGTAGCCAGAACTAGGGTTGTGACGATGAGGAAATTTCCCCACCGGTTAATGGACATGTGACAACACGTACCGGTAATACCGGTATCACCGTGGGGGTGGGGGTTTCCTCTTTTTTTCCTGCTTTTAAATAGCTTATAAATGCGTGCGTATTATACTTTCACTTTTAGTTTTGCGGGAATTGGCAATTCGGCATCAATTGTTTGAATGGACGACAACGAAACTACAAAAAAAAATCACTGATATTAAAAACACAACAATGCTACAGGCTGAAAAAACTGTGGAAGTTGGAACCAAACAAATAACAACCATAGAACGTTTATTACGTAGCCTATGTTAGAACGTTTTTAAAACGAAAAACTAATTTTACACTGGTAAAATTAGACATGCGGAATTTAATAAAAGCTGAAAACAATCAAACTAAAGCACAACAAACTGCTTACATGTGGCCGTGGTGCGCTATTTTCGTGTTGCTGTTCAAATTCCGAGAACATTGTCAACCGCTGAGCTACCCAAAGATAATAGAAGAAAGATGAGTCAAATTCGTTAAATATCGACCGATGGTTGGAGGACTGTGGAAATATCGTAAAACCGATAATTGTTCTACGATTCACTAAACGAAATAGGCAGTTCTGTAATAGAATTCAATAATAAAAATATTAACAGAAAACCTTTGGAAAAACTTGATTTACTTTCATATATTTTATGTCGGGTGACAGACAGTTTCCGGAATGCTGATTGAACAGGAAATAGCCAATCAGAATTACATCAAACCTGCGATTGGCTGGTTTTGTGTCACTTTTGTAACAATGTGCCCAACTTGAGTGAGCTTATAAAAAGAGTTGAGCGAGCACGTAGCCGAGATGTGTGAGAGTGAGAGACACACTGTGAGCGAGAGTGCAGTGGCCGAGTTGAGCGCGCGTAGGACAGGTTGAGCGAGCGTGCGCGCCAAGCTGAGCGAGAGACACGCTGTGAGCGAGAGCGCGGTGGCCGAGTTGAGCGCGCATAGAGCAAAAACATTGCTTGCGAATGTCCTTCTGCACGCTCAGGAATGTGGCACTAATATAACGCCATAAAATTACAGTCCCCAAAAATTCAAAGCGTCATTAATGCAATGCGTTTTTATTCGAGAAGTGTAATTCAAAGTGTTTTTTTTCATCAACGACTTTTGTCATTAATCTACTTCCATACTTGGAGATATAATTCACTTGGTGGGGGGTCCCCACGATAAGATTCGCTGAACACAAGTCATCGATAAGTTTCACTACAACATTTACCAACAACTTGGTAAAATTTGCAATTTTAATGAATGTTCCTTTTCATGATTATCTAGTATATGTTTAATAATCAGTTTAAAGTTTACCTCCGATGTTTCGCCATGCTTTACTTGTGGTGTACTTTGGCTTCACACATATTGCAAATTGAAAGCTGTGTGTCTTCAATCACAGTGAAGAACTTCCACGCTAAGAGCATGTTAACATGTGGCTGTGAGTGTGTACGCAGCTGTGAGGTTATTGCCTGCACCGCTTTGCGTATGATGTGGTGCATTCATAAAACGGACTTGTTTTGTGTGGGAAATATATGACACTGACCGGCTGGTCTCCAGTCAGGGCCGAGCATACTGTTTTCTGTCTGATGAGACAACTCATGGCAACAAAGGCAAACTTATTTGATAGATTAACTAGTTCTCTTTTGCTATGATTTATTTTGGGTACATTTTCAGCTTTTCTTTTGTTTTATGAATATCACAGTATTTAACACAAAAAAAATCACAGTGACACTTAAAGCACTTATGTATAATGGCTTATACTGACTTTAGTAATGCATTATGAATGTATATATAGTGCATTATAGATGAGAGCTTCATAGAGCATTTATAATGTATAATAAATATGGTTATAATGTCATGCCTTTTTATAAATAGTTGGTTATAATGCATTGTGAAGGTATCTATAATGCATCATGATTAAGTATTAAGTAAAGTGTTACCAAATTCCCATGTTATTTAGCCCTGCTTGCAAACATTATCACAGCATTGGAAGACCATGGAGGTAATGGAATATCAGTACCTCTTGCAGTGTGTGCATGTTTAAAGTTGTTTTGGGTTTGTCTTTGTTTTTTAGGTATCATGGGTAATTAAACTGGCAGGTCAGATTTTCATGTACTATTAAAGCTGTTTGATGGTTATTACAGTATTGCATCAGTTCAGTTATATTCAGTGGCTTCTTAACACATTTACATTTCCTTTTACTGGATATTGCATCAGGATTGTAATTTATGTTATGCATCTTATTTAAAAAAAAATGATTGATCACCGCTTGTAACCTGAATATTGGTGTTCGGGTCCCTGTCCTGCTCTTCTACTAGCAACCTTGAGTAACCCTGAGTCGCTTCGGTAAATCATCCACATTGAATGGAAAACTTTATAGCTTAACTTCCATGTGGAAAAAAAAAATATATATGTGTGTGTATATGTATGGCATTTACATGACATTCTTCCATAATCCAGATGACAATGGATGAAAAGTATGTGAACAACATCTGGGATCTCCTAAAGAACGCCATCCAGGAGATCCAGCGGAAGAACAACAGCGGCCTGAGCTTTGAGGAGCTGTATAGGAACGCCTACACCATGGTGCTCCACAAACATGGAGAGAAGCTCTACACGGGTCTCCGGGAGGTCGTCACAGAGCATCTAATTAACAAAGTATGAAAGTTTCCCACAATACACTGCAGGAAGATAATGTTCTTTATAGGCAATTAGGGCCTGGCACGAATTTTTGGTATAAGTCAGTTTATTACTTTTGTTTTAGGTTAGTGTTTCTTTTGTACAAAGCTTGATAATATAATCTCTAGCTCTCAGCATGTGTTTAGACCTTGGGGAACTTTTTATAGGACCTCATATAATCACTTCACTAGGTGTTTTTTATTATGTATCTTTCCTTGCAGGTACGGGAAGACGTCCTAAACTCCCTAAATAACAATTTTTTGCAAACATTGAATCAAGCTTGGAATGATCACCAGACAGCCATGGTGATGATCAGAGACATACTCATGTACATGGTAAGCATCTGGCTTTTATTGATGGCTTCTTGATGAACTCAGCATCTTGATTCTGAAACCATTTTCATTTGAAATCAAACAGTACTTGACTGGCATTTGAATCCATAACCATGTCTTTACAGCTGCTTTCAAATAATTAATCTTTTGCAAAAGTGTGTAGTAACATTTGGTCAGGTGTGCCGTTTTATAAATGATTCTGTAATTTAGAACTAGGGTGCATTGTTTGCATTCAGTAGACATACCACTGGTTAGGTTTGCCGGCCAAACTGCATTAGTTTATTGCCTACTGGAAAAGATTCAAACCCAGTGTTTCTGTTTCATTAGACTATGAATAACACAGAAACTTTTCTTTCACTCATGGTTAGTGGTTGGCTGGAGCCATTTATTGTCAAACAACTGTGTTTACTCTTTTTAAATCATAACAACAACAGAAACTACCCAAATGACCCTGATCAAAAGTTTACATACCCCAGTTCTTAATACCGTGTATTTCCCACTTTAACATCAATGACAGCTTGAAGTCTTTTGTGGTAGTTGTGGATGAGGCTCTTTATCTTCTTAGATGGTAAAGGTGCCCATTCTTGTGTGTGTGTGTGTGTATGTATATACATGTGGGTGTGTGTATATATATAAATTTCATGCCTGTGTTTGATATGTGTAATTCACATGTCAAATATCATCACGATCAAAAATGGCTACCCAAAAAATTACTATGGAAGTTTGAATTAAAATGGAACAAGCTATTGTTTATTATTATTATTATTATTATTTATGTTAAGTGATGATAATGATATTAAATTATATTTTATAATCATGCTATTCATAAAGTTGGTGTTTGTTGTTTTTGTTATTCTGTTCATTCTATTATTGTATGGACCTCAGATTAATCTTCAGCTGACTTATTTGTCTTCCTCCCTCTCTGAACCTCTAGGACCGGGTCTATGTCCAGCAGAACAATGTGGAGAACGTGTACAACCTGGGTCTCATCATTTTCCGGGACCAGGTGGTGCGTTACGGCTGCATCCGGGACCACTTACGGCAAACACTGCTGGACATGATCGCGCGCGAGAGGAAGGGCGAGGTGGTGGACAGGGGAGCGGTCCGCAATGCCTGCCAGATGTTGATGATTCTAGGACTGGAAGGGAGAGCCGTCTATGAAGAGGACTTTGAGGCGCCATTTTTAGAAATGTCTGCTGAATTTTTCCAGGTATTTTTTGAATCAATATTTTATCAGTTATAGATCATTTTATGTTGCAAATGTGTGTTCAGTTTTGTTGAGAATATTTTTGTTTCCATCTCAGATGGAGAGTCAAAAGTTTTTAGCAGAAAATAGTGCCAGCGTCTACATCAAGAAGGTCGAGGCCCGAATCAATGAAGAGATTGAGCGAGTGATGCACTGCCTGGACAAATCAACAGAGGAGCCCATCATCAAGGTGGTGGAGAGAGAGCTGATTTCTAAGCACATGAAGACTATTGTGGAGATGGAGAACTCCGGTCTTGTTCACATGCTGAAAAACGGAAAGACAGAAGGTAGGCCAGCTTTCTTCAGCTACTTGTTTCTAGATAAAGAACTTCTGTTCAAAATCACCCTATGCTGATGTTTGGTCTTCATTATTGAAAAGTTGTAAATGACCCTTCATTCTGTGATCCAGATCTATGTACCACAGGCCATATTGTCATTAATCCGCCTATTAAGTCATAACTTTTGAATTACATGGTAGTACTTTTGCTGGGGCCAACCTGGGTACAAACCAATAAGCCTCAGTGTGGTGTGTTTGAGTCTTTTAATTGATTTGAAACAAAATAAGTAAAGAATTCTCCTTCTACCACTCTGCCATAAGTAAGAGAAGACAAAATGACTGTGTAAACAAAGACATTTTTTTACAAGTTTTTTTGTGTTTAGTATTGGGGTGTAAAGTACAAACCTCGGATTTGGGTTCACGATTCAGTGTCATTTCAGTACAGCAAAGAAAACAAAATTGGTTCTGGGATAATTATTAAAACTGCAAACAGAATTAGGAAAAGTTGTAAACCAAACGCTGTGCATCCAATGGCATGTTTGAATAACGAGGGTCACTTATTTGTGCATTGGAAAAAAAATATTAGAGATGCACCGATCCGATGATCCCTTTTTGACAGATCAGGTATCGGCCATATGTGACCGATCCACGTACAATACTTAGTTGCACGATAGCTCTTTCCCATTTTAGATATGTTTTTTTTTGTGGCATTCAAGCTGAACGGTAACTCTGCCAGTCCGTTTTATTGCTACTGAGTGGGTGTGAGTGCAGTGACTTCCGCCTGCTGTGACATCATCCCCATACCACTTGCAGTACGAGGAGCATAAGAACATCAGAAAAGAAGGTGACAACCTTTTAACAGCAGTTAGTAGCAGGTGGGAGTAACGTTTAGTGGAAAAAAAGCGTGCATAATTGCGAGACATCGCGACTAATATGAAAAAAGGCAATGGAGTCACTACCTTGGGCTGTTTTGCGCATTTGCTGCAGCTTGTGAAATGTGAGGGATTGCTATCTCAACGATGTGTAAGTGATGCGTTTGCCAGGGGGAGAAAAATTGTGGGGCATTTTAAGCATTCGGCACTTGCGTATCTTTACTTGGAAGATATTCAAACTGAACTGTAAAACGCCTCAAAAAACACTTAAAACAAGATGTACAAATGACGTGGAACAGTACATTATGTATGTTTCTAGTAGCCTAAGTAAAGATTTTTTGGCATACATTTTTCATCTGTACTTTACTAGTTTAAAAATATTAATAAAGTATAAATACATATTATGTATTTATTAAGTTAAAATATTAAAGTAAAAAGAGCTCTAGTATTGGAATCTGTATCCGTATTGGCAGTATCAGAATCGGATCGGAACTGAAAAAATGTGGATCGACCCATCCCTAAAAAATAAATAAAAATTTAAAAATCAAAAATATAACAATCGTAATGGACTAAAATCTGTGTTCTCTACCATTGAGTATGGTGGCCTGTTTGTAGCTTAGTCTCTCTGGAATTAAAAGACTGTTTCTGCCTTCTCCAGTCGTACACGCACTCAGAAGATGCCGTCTCAAATGCATTAGCATGTTGGATGTGTTTTAAGGAATAAAATAAGGAATAAGTTGGTATAACAGAGCTGACGGACAGTCTTGGTTTTATCAACTGTTTATTTCTCCAGTGCTGGTTTAACTTTTATGAAACCTGAATGTTCCCATTCTGCGAATTATGACTGACTAACCATCATTAGCAGTAACCAGCTCTCAGCCTGTTAGCAAAATGTTTTCCATGTTGAACATCTACTTGTGAATTTAGTTTATACCTATATTGAGAAATGTGATCATTTGTTTCATTGTGCATACTGAACTGAAAACAATGTACAGATCATGTACCAATATTTCCTCCTGGGAGAATAGCTGCATTCATCGCTCTATTTGAATGAAAGGAATTTTGGCACCTTTTTTGTCACACTTTGCTGGAAAAAAGAAGTTATGGTGATTAATGTTACAAGTTCGGGCATTGTGGTTAGTTTAGAATGTCAGACCACAGAAACAGATTTTACGTCACGTGTTGTGTCGTATTTAACAAGCAGATAACATTGCAGGTTGTCATTCAGGCTACATTGCTTCCACTCCTGGGGGGCATGTCTTTCCCTTGGAACTTGCTGGGGTCTCTTACTCCTGTTTCTTGTGTGTCTCAGACCTGGCCTGTATGTACAAGCTGTTCAGTCGTGTCCCGAATGGACTGAAGACCATGTGTGAGTGTATGAGCTCTTATCTGCGAGAGCAGGGCAAGGCTCTGGTCTCTGAGGAAGGCGAGGGCAAGAACCCTGTGGACTATATACAGGTAACCAGATCCAGGCCTTAATAACTGTTGATGCTTTTTTATGACACAAGGAATTGACCTAATCGTGTAGTACCTTGGGCTACCATTGGTGGAGGTGAGGGCAGGATAGTGCAGATCCAACTAGAGAACTGTAGTCCACATTTCTTGTGCACCATGGTGGAATTCAGAATTGAGTACTATACACGGTGCTCATGGGACATACTATTGTCACTGTCTGCTGCTAATGGCATTCAGGCAGGTGTGTAAAGTTACAAGCCATTGTACTCTTAGACTAATGCAATTGAGTTTGCTCACACATTGTATAATGTGTTGGATCTTTTTGGATTTTTCCAGCCAAAATGTGGAGGTCTATGATCTTTAACCTGGGTTGTTACAAGAAGATAAAAGATGCTTTTCCTGCCTGAAACTGTCCATGCCGCAGCTCTGTTATTAAAGCTCTTGTTTGTTCGTCTAACCCTTTCTCCATCTTGTCTTTTCAGGGGCTATTGGACCTGAAAACTCGCTTCGATCGCTTCCTACAGGAATCCTTTAATAATGACCGGCTGTTCAAGCAGACCATTGCTGGTGATTTTGAGTACTTCCTCAACCTTAACTCACGCTCACCCGAGTACCTCTCCCTGTTCATTGACGACAAGCTGAAGAAAGGGGTCAAAGGGGTGAGCTCCCTTCCAGTCCGGTCTGCTTCATCTAGCCTGTAATTCACATGAGGGCACTTTGGATGTTTCTTTTCTGCATTCCTTCTGTAAACCACTTGTCCTGATCGCTGCAGCTGACGGAACAGGAAGTGGAATTCATCTTGGACAAGGCCATGGTGCTGTTCCGCTTTATGCAGGAGAAGGACGTCTTTGAGCGGTATTACAAGCAGCACCTGGCCAGGAGGCTTCTCACCAACAAGAGTGTGTCTGATGACTCTGAGAAGAACATGATCTCTAAGCTAAAGGTAGGTGGGTGGTTGGATGTTTTATTTATCCCAGGGGGAAATTTGTTTGCCTATGACAGTAGATGGGTGGAATTGATTCATGATGTCCTCCAATTTTGCCATCATCATGTATGCTGTGATGGATTATTGCTACAGATGGTGATGATGTGAAGAGCTCACGCGTGTAGCTGTGTGCGGTGATTATCTTTTTAACAAGTGCCCCTGTGTTTGTCATCTGGGCAGACAGAGTGTGGCTGTCAGTTTACCTCCAAGTTGGAAGGAATGTTTCGAGATATGAGCATCTCAAACACAACCATGGATGAGTTCCGGCAGCACTTGCAGACAACAGGGGTAAGGGATATCCACTGCAGTCATATGCAGGCTTTAAGTGTAGAGTGTCCCCTACAGTAAGGGATGGTTCACTAGATGGCAGATATAGTCAATAGTATTCATTCACGGTAGCTGAGTATGTGGTGTTGCCCATATGAACTAACGATTTTACTGAAAGTGACTGAAGTAATAGTCATTCCCATTGGCCTCCAGGTCTCTCTTGGTGGTGTTGACCTCACTGTAAGAGTGCTCACAACTGGTTACTGGCCCACCCAGTCGGCGACGCCCAAATGCAACATCCCCCCATCGCCCAGGCATGCTTTTGAGGTGTTCAGGAGGTAGGTCTGTCAGCTGCAGGAAGCCACAGGAGTTAAGTGCTCAGATGCCAGTCACTGACTACCCTCTGCACCCGTAGTATGTATTATTTGATTGAGAAGTGATCCCAAAGGTAACCACATTCGTGCCATCCACAGGTTCTACCTAGCCAAGCACAGTGGTCGACAGCTTACACTCCAGCATCATATGGGCTCAGCAGACCTCAACGCAACATTTTATGGGCCAATCAAAAAGGTGGGAAGCCCGCAATCTTAGGCAATGCTGCATCTCAGTAGGTTCTACCGTTGTTGGTGTTGGTTCCTGTAGTAATAATGTCTTTCCACAGGAGGATGGTTCAGAGGTGGGTGTGGGCGGTGCCCAGGTGACCGGCTCCAACACCAGAAAACACATTCTTCAGGTCTCCACCTTCCAGATGACAATACTCATGCTCTTCAATAATAGGGAAAAGTGCACATTTGAGGTATGACTATGGTACCTCACTCGAAGACTATACTGGGTCCATGTTCCACTTACTGCATGGCTAACTCTTGTCACTGCTCCATGTCTCTTCACATCGGCACCCTTATAGGAGATCCAGCAAGAGACGGACATCCCCGAGCGGGAGCTGGTGCGGGCGTTACAGTCCCTGGCCTGCGGCAAGCCCACGCAGCGTGTCCTCACCAAGGAGCCTAAATCCAAGGAGATTGAAAACGGCCACGTGTTCACTGTCAATGACCAGTTCACCTCCAAACTGCACAGAGTAAAGATTCAAACAGGTGTGCCTTGTGGCTTTTGGGAAATTCCAGTATGAGTCGGGGAAATATTAGGATGTAATTATTTTTCTCCTCTCAACCCCAGACCATCTAATGGTCAATTCCTAGTTTGGAAATCAACCATAGCATCACCTTCACACTAGCAGCATGTATCAGGTCATACTTTGGTTTATACAGTTTTACTGTGCAAAAATTGTCACATCCTGTCAAAGAACATTTTTAAATCTGTTTATCTGGAATGGAAGTGTATTATTGCTCAGAATTTAACATGAAAGTGATTAATTAGTAAGACGTGATATGCTACTGGTAGAGTCAAGAAATGCGTGGGTATATTACTATGCTTGCAAGACTGCAAATACTGGGGTGGCTAAGTGGTTTTGAAATGGCTAAGCAGACACACTTTATCACACATACTTTTATACCGGTGTAAAGATAATTTAGACAGTATTCTGTGGCTCAGTCCTGCACATCACACCTCAAGCGTCAGTTGCCGTGTTCTGACTCACATCGTGTGCACAGTTGCTGCTAAACAGGGGGAGTCCGACCCAGAAAGGAAGGAGACGCGGCAGAAGGTGGACGACGACAGGAAGCATGAAATCGAGGCCGCCATCGTACGCATAATGAAGTCCAGGAAGAAGATGCAGCACAATGTATTAGTAGCAGAGGTGAGCGTAGTAGATTATAGGGGCAGTGAGGGGTTATGGGGGCAGTTATGGAAGGGCTGCGGGATCTGGAGCAAGATATGAGGGAGTGTGGAAGATTGGAGGCTTTATTGATCTCAAAGGAAATATGTAGCAGGTGCAGCAGCAAATAATACTGCACCCTAAAAGACAAAATCCAGCCATGGAAAAAATTAAGAGACCACTCTATATTTTTAAACAATTCTGCATTGTTAAATCCTGGCTTAGTCGTGGTTCTGCTGGCAGAAGGCTACACTGAGCGGCAGGTAGCTTCCAGGTTCAAAATTCCTAAGACTGCAGTACAAAAGAATAAGGTGAAGCAGGAGACACTGGGAATGACCAGAAACCAGCCTGGTAGAGGGCAGAAGAGACATTCTAATGCCAGAGATGACCGTTAACTTACAGACAGTTTCTCATGAATCGTAGGATGACATCAAGTGACCTTCAAATGGAATGTGAAACATTAAGCGCAGGTGTGAAGTGCACTGCTAGGACAGGTCATATCAGGCTCCTAGAAGCAGGACTGAAGTCCCATAAAGCAAGGAAGAAGCCCTTCATCAATGAGAAACAGGGAAGAACCTGGCTGCAATTTATAAAAAAAAAATGTTATTCACAAACGCACACCCATAAACAGAAATGAAACAAAAAATTGTGCTGTGGTCTCTTAATTTTTTTCCGTGGCTCTATAGATACAAATGACAAGAAAAGGCAATTGACCAAGAAATATAATGTGCAAAAGCAGGGTATGCAAATGTACAGTAAATTAGTGCTGTGTTTTTATGGTGGTCAGGAGGGCAGTGTGCGGACTCTTACTCTTGTCAGACTGGCTGATCTGGCTGCCCTGTCTATCGTGTGTCTCACAGGTGACCCAGCAGCTGCGCGCACGGTTCCTGCCCAGCCCTGTGGTAATTAAGAAGCGCATTGAAGGACTGATCGAGAGAGAGTACTTGGCACGGACACCGGAGGACCGCAAAGTGTACACTTACGTAGCATAATCACTTAAGGTGGTGCGGAAGAGCCTGCTCCGGCGAAAGTCAGGATGAGAATTTCAGTGGACTGTTTCTTTGCATGGACAGAGAAAATCCTTTTAACTAAAGATACAAGGAAGCTGAATCCTTCTCCATTAAAAAAAAAAAAAGTTAAATAAAATCCAGACATCTATTAAGTGTTCTATATAATTTAAATTGGGCTTCTGTTCCCTGTATTTCAACATGGGTGGACCCGGGTTCCGGCTTGTCACTGTTTTACCCTTCAACAACAGCTCCTCGGGACAAATGTGAATGCAACTCCTTTTTTCAATATTGTATAAAAGAGCAAATATGAATTGCTTTAAAGACTAATAAAATTGTTGAAATCTCTCTCCCGGGTTTTAATGTTTATGTAAATGTATTTTTGTGCTCAATAGCACAACCTGCTGGTCGAATGGAAAATGGCCTTTAAATCTGGTTTGCTGTTGGATCCTAGTGAGAGTGTTTTAATTCTGGGATTGTGGAGACAGAGGACACTTGCGTAGCATGCGATGGTTGAACGAATAGAATAATTTACACAACCTCTAAAATTATATATAATTTTATTTTTGTTTTGTTGTTGTTGGGGCATATTGTTAATTTCCCATTTTTTTCTCCTTTTGCTCCTGGTCTTCCAGATGCAGTTCAGTGGGCTTAGGTTTTCTCGGGTGTTTAAAAAAGGAACCTCAGATTAACAGTGTTTTAATGTGTATAAATGTAAAATATATTGTACTCACTACTTTAAATGGATTGTACAAGGCCTTGTCTTCATCATATTAAATGTAGAAAAATGAAGAATGATCTGCTGATCTTTTTTTTTTTTTTTTTACCCTGCTTTTTTTCACCTTTTGCAGAAAAGAAGTTGGGAAACCACGTTAAATATTTAGCCATGATTGAAGCTGTGCTTTTTTTTGCCACTGGAAATGTGTGTGGCCAGAGGAGGGATGGTGAGTGTTTACTGCGTGAACGTTGTTTCTGAAACAAAACTGTTCACCTTGCACTGATGTTTGTTCACCTGCTCGTTCTGGGGCACTGTGCTGACAGATGGGTTTGCCTGAAAAGGAAGAGCTATTGTGGATTTCGCTCTTAAATGTCAGTTCTTTAGCCTGTTTTTGTCTGTTTGTTTGTGTGCTTTTATTATTATGATGCAAGTCTGTCTTTCCTGGGTTTTTGTGCATTTTTTGCACTCAGAAAGAAACTGAAGTATTTCACAAGATGGCCAGTTAGTCTTTTTAACAAGTAGTTTTTAATGTGTGTTACAAGTAGTTCAATGTTCAGCAATCAATTTTATATAATATTTTATATAGTGAGCCAAAACATCATAACCACCTCCACCCAATGAGCCTTGTCATTCTGGAGATGCTCTGATCCAGTTGTCTGGCCATAATGATTTGGCCCTTATCACAGTCACTCAGATCTGTACCCCTGCCCATTTCTTCTGCATTCAACATGTCAACTATGAGTATGGAATATCTCATATGTCCCAGAACCTCAGTTTAAGTGTTTTAATGTGCGCAAATTGAACATGCACTGGTTTTACTAGATGGTCAACATTTTTCACTTCATGTGTGGCTGGTTATAATGTTTTGGCTCATCAGTGTATGTATATAAGTATGTATGTGTGTCTTTTGCGGTCAGCCAAAATGGAAACGGCTGAAACTGGAATACGAATGTTGGGACTTTTAAGGGATTTCCAATAATGGTGATAGTCAGGCTTTTCTTTTTCTAGGTGTGGATTTGTGCTGAGACTAAACCTTCTCTGTGGGTGCTCTGTGTTGTCTTTCTTTTGTTCCATTGAGCTGTTAGTTGAGTAAATTAGATCGAACAGACAAAAACAAATTTTAAGTCATTTTTATTGTATTTAAATTAACCATTTGTCAATTTCATATGCACTCAGGGTAGCAAAATGGCAACATTTATTTCCTTCCTTCATCAGCAGCAGGCATGGCAGTGGTTCTGATGTTTTTTCTAGCAGGATGTCAAACATCGTAGCGTTATTGCAGTTTCTGAGTTCACCCTATTCCAACAGTGCAGGCTACGCGCCCCTAGAACTGAAGTGTAACACTGGCACTGTTGGATGATGCCACAAAAATGGGCTGTCCCAGTGTAAACAGCACAGAGGCCCCATCCACCTTTACAATGAGGAACATTCAGCCCAACACATATGCGTACCATTCATCTGCAGTCCCGAGGACAAAGGTACTCAGGTCTCTGAGAGTGAAGTCTACAGAATGCTGGATGAGTGAGACACTCTACTCCTTCCTCTCCCATATCATACCAACACCGGTCTGGGTTTGTTGCCTGTATTTTGGTCATGAGGAAGCAAAGGTCCAGCCAGTTGGGCTGAGTTAAGTTGTTTCAGTCCAAGACAGTGCTTTGGAAAAATCAATTTAGTGTTTTATATGGGCACTATCGCTAGTATCATAGACCAAGTAAGCATAGGTTAATAATATCATAGGGGTGGTCAAACAGGAGAGACTACAGTTCTTTTCAAGTTAATACTGGGCTTTGGGCTCTTAATGAACTAGTCAAGTACACACAGAACTTGTTTGACAGGTCAGTCAGCGAGCCTGAATTGACTTTGATAACTCTTCAAGCCGGGTCATGAATTTCTGCTCCTGTTCAGGAGATGTATGGGTCCAGGCAAAGGGGAGGTGGGTTGAAACTGGTCTCCGATCTACAAAATACAGGAGAATGCTTCATTTAAAGTCCTCCTGTAAGCATGGGTGTTCTGTCGGATTCTGGGTGTTTGAAGAAGTGAAGCTGATTACCTTGAAAGAAGCAGCCACTAGGCAAAGTGACAGCGGCTTGGGAGACGCTCAGCCACACTACCGTGTCGGCACCCTGATCGGCACTGCGCAGCTTCTCTCGCATCGCATGGTGGAACTCCGGCATCGCCATGGCAATTGCTGGTAATGAACCCCAAGGAGACGATGCAAACAAGAGTACAAACACTAGTAATAACCGTTTCTCCAGTCCACAGGCCTGTCGACAGCCACTAAGAGCTGTTGGATATAGGGAATGGGATTCAGGAACTGGATGATGCTATACACACACACACACACACACACGTGTAGGGTAAACATATCCTTATGGGGACCGCTCATTCATTTCAATGGGAAAAATGCTAACCCTAACTATGACAACCTTAACCCCTACCCTGCCCTAACCATAACCATAAGTCATAGCAGTCACCGATTTTTATAAAATATTTTTTTCCCCATAAGGGAAAAAAAACGGACATTTATCATGTTATGGGGACATTATGTCCCCATAAGGATAGGTAAACCCGCTCACACACACACACACACACACCTGTGCAATATTCATGCTGTCCAATCAGCACCTTGATATGCCACACCTGTAAGGTGGGATGGATTATCTCGGCAAAGGAGAAGTGTTCACTTACACAGATTAGATTTGTGAACAATATTTGAGAGTAATGGGTCTTTTGTGTATGTAGAAAATGTTCAGCTCATGCAAAATGGGAGCAAAATCGAAAGTGTTGCGTTTATATTTTTGTTCAGTGTGTATATATATATATATATATATATATATATATGTATTTCACTTTTTCTAAAACTGCCCTCTATACCTGGGGTATCAGCCCATCCGGGATGCATGGCAGAGAAGTGGATGTTGGGATGAGCCTTTGCCCATTGTTCAGTCATCACCACCTGCTGCCTCTTGGTCTGTGCGTAGACCATAGTCCCATCAAAGTGGTCATTTTCTGACTGCAGATCATCGCTCTGGAGCTTTTGAACCAGCATTCCTCCGGAAGATACCGTGATCTAGGTTGTTCAAGTTTGGAAGGGCACAGAATATTTGAAGTATTTGAAATGTATTTAAATGGAAGAACTGATTTAGAAAACTGCTGTGCATTTAACTATGTACATACCACTCTGGGATCACTGCTTTTCTCTAGTAAGGGAATCAAACTCTTGGTTAAAATGTAAACCCCTAAAGAAGAGAGAGAGACCTTATACTGAATACACAAAGAGCAGCTAAGAACAAAAGACTATATAATGAGTAATCAGATTTATTTACATGTATTAGTTTGCCATTTGCTTTTGTACTAAGTGACATACTTGTTGGGCAGATTGTACTCCACTGCCACTGATAATAAGGTTCTTACCCAGAGTGTTTGTTGCAAAGTTCCTTTCCAAGCCCTCAGAGTTTACCTCTCTTTGTTTCAACATGCAACCTGCATTGTTGATCTGTAATAGATATTGTTTCTCCATTTATTTTGCATTCTGCACACACACAATGCAGCCTATATCCTATATGAATTCTTAATCACAGGTCAGTCAGTGGTATGGAAGATTAAGGATGTATCATAAAATTAATGGATAGGGACAAGTTTATTTTAGCTTTCTTAGTGCTTGTTTGCATCATTCGTGGTGATGTCATTCTGATTTGATTTCTAAGCCAGCAAGCTGCTAGTGTGTGTGAGCAGTAGGATGTTGGAGTAGAATTATAATTCAGTTAGTTCACAGACACTGTTTCTGCAAAGCAACATACAATTGAGAAAGCAGAGTCAGAGTCCCAGGAGTTAAGGATCTTGCTCAAGCACCCAGTGGTGACACTACCAGCTCTGGAATTTGAGCTGGTGACCTTCTGATCGCAGGCACTGCGTTCTAACCCCCTGTGCTGCATGCTGCCCCCAGCTAGAAGGCTTACAATAATGTTCGCTTAGAGGTAGAGCTGTGTCTGGGCCTACCAGCACGTTCAGCTGCTTGTACTTTTTCTTGAAGCCCTCTGCAAATTCCAGAACTTTCTGCATTTCAGACATGTCCAAGAGATGTACATAAATTTCCTTAAACAAAAAAATAAAATATTGTTTAAATCAGAAAACCATACTTATTTGAAGGTGAAATATAAAACTCACTGATACACGTCAAGTGGTTGTTTTCATGTTATGTTTGAATCAGCTCACATGACAATATTATATTTGGGTCCTCTGTGAACTGGTGTTTACCTTGTTTCCTGTCTCTTTGACAATGTCTGCTTTGGCCTTCTCTGCTTTTTCCTTGTTCCTACACACCATGTGGATCGTACCACCTGGAAAACAAAAGGGGAACAACCAATGAATTAAGAATGCACCTGACGTTTAGATGAGAGTATATGGTCATTACAAGAAGAGATTAAATTCTGGATTGTGTAACCTGAAAACTTCTTGTGCCACACACACCCCCCCAAACACCAAGGTTGTACACCCTTGACCGCAAACCTTTCTTGGCAATGGCAAGGGCCGTGGCCTTTCCAATCCCGCTGCCGGCTCCTGTGATCATAAAGGTCCGGCCTGCTACTGCGACCTCCATGTCCTTATCCACAAATTGCTTGGAAGCGGCTTGAAAGCCATTCCTGCAGCAAACAGTCAGGTACTCAGATACATTGCCAATCAAAACCCAGTAGTTCTAATAGGAAAACACAAAAGGAATCCCCCAACTCCCACCCCTTTAATGTCCTCTATTTTAACTCAATTTCACTTGACATATAAAGTGTTGTTGGTTGACGCGTTTCACATTCTATCAGAAAATTGTTTTTTGAGGAACAAAAACACCCCCAATATATTTTCATTACCCCATGTAATATATAACATTACAAATTATAAAAGTATCTGTTCACCAGGATTGTTGTTAAGTTTTCCTAAGGTACCTCCACCTACAATATTTTAATCCACTTCCAAAGTATATAATATTTCGTGGCCTACACCCAAACTGTGTATTAAAATCACTTTATCCCTAGCTGTAAAAAAACTGCGCATGTGAGACATTGCGGTACGCTCTTTAGGATCATGTGTGGTGATTATTAGATGAAAACACTACGTCAAAAATGAAACCTTGAGTTGAACTGATGAAATTTAGCTTCTTCAATGGTCAAAAAGCAGAAAAGTTAATGATGAGAAATGTTCCGTCTTAATACCCTAAACCTGCTGCAATTAATTAAATATCAGATTATAGTCGTGACGCGGAGCTAGAAAGATTTCACTGGGGGATGCTCATGGTCTCATCTAGTGTAGCATCACCAGTTACATGAGATCATAAGAGGGAACAAAAACAAAACACTTTAGTTTGTAGATAACAACGGATCAAGGCCGTGCGATTGGCGACAAGCGGCTCTCTCAATGCCGGTATTGTCTGTCGCTCCTTGTGACTGCAGCATTGGCTGGATGAGCGCCTCGGATTATTCCCGGTAAATGAGCGCTCTGTTCCGGGCGTTGTTATCGCCGCCCAATTTGAATTCATTAGGTAAAGAATACTTAACAGAAATTAATTTCATTGCACGCTTTTAAACTTATGTTTACATTCCGATACTAAAGGGGATATAGAAAATGGAGGGATGGAGTGATCTGATGCAATGTCAGAATGTTAAATGTTAAATCAACGCATAAATCAATGAAACTCACTACAATAAAGCGAGACAATGTAAAAACAGAATTTAAATATTTCAACCAACTTAAGCAGCAGCACCAACAATCCCTAGGACAGCATATATAATGTACTTGAAACAAAGTTCAGAATTATCAATTCCTTTTTCTACCCCATGACAATGTACTGCAGAATAAAACAAAACGTTTAACACCTAACTGCAATACAGAGCATATCTTTCATACATACTGGTTTTACTAGAACCAGCCAAAGTGACACAATTGCCAAGATATAGAACATATTCAAGTGAATTTCTTCCTACCTGGTATATTCATTAATCCCCTTTAAGAACCAGACGATATTCCGATATACAGACATTGCTAACCAGTCCTCCCTTGACTTACACACGCTCCAACTGTTATGAGCGAGTTCACTTGTCACCCCTTGAGGTTTATTTTCGTGCGTTACATGCTGCCATCTAGCGGTTGCTGTTATATCGCAAGTCGGGAAAGGGCAGGGAGGGTTAGCTCCTTACTCACGCTGTATTAGCCTACATTATTTGAAATTAAAAAAAAAAAAACTGAAGAATCATGGATGATAATTAAATTACTTGAAAGTGAGTCTGTTTCCGCTAAACATTTTAAGAAATGAACCTGCTATATCGCTTATCTGCTTATTATTGTAAAAACCAGAGCATTTGACAGTGTAATAAAATATTAATTATTATCATTATTCTTGTTGCTGAGTTTATTTAGCAGATATTGTTAGGCATTACTAGTCTTTTATCTATCCATCTCCCATAACTAAAACAGGGTGACGTAGGGTACAAGGCATGAAATACACAAGCGCAATCTACGGCTCTTTAGAAAGACTTCACTTATCTGCATGTTTCCAGACTATGGGAGGAAACCTTGCAAACTCCACACCACGCAAAGCCGAGTCTGGGATTTTTGCAACATAATATATATTAAATTGGCATATGTTACAATATATTGTTATGATTAGACCTGTATATCTTATATTGCACTTACATTATCTTGCCCAGTATTGTACTGCTGTTTGTCTTGTTCCTCATGTCCCCGCCTTAGAACTAATCATGCCAATATTAAATTGTTTTTGTGATGGGCAAATATCTATTAACAACAACAACCCTTAGTGTTTGACAACTAACACACATCGGAAGAAAAGGCCGTAACCAGCAGAGCACACACGAGAGCGCTTCCCCAGGTATGAGGCAAATGCGCCAATCCAGCACGTCTGCTTTAGACACGCAAGCAGTGAGTTTTCCAGACAGGGGCGGAGTTTCGGAACTTTCTGTTCGGAGAATTCTGGGAAAGGCAGATATGAACCCGTCTAAGAGAGTCAACCTATGCGAAATAACACTCTGATTTCGGATAATCTTTTAATATACTTTTATCAGTAAAACAGAGGCATTATTTCTGAAAATGGTAAGTTAGTCGGGGCCTTTATTCTAAAGAGGTATTATACCCTACTGCGCGTTGCAATTTTGCGTATTTAAATAGTCAACACCATATCTGCACCTGTTCCCAACAGGTGACAATTTTGTTTTTCCTTCGGAAGTCTGATAGCGTTAATTTGTTATTTTTTTGTGCGCTGCCATGATTAAGTAGATAGTAAACATATATATTGGTGATGAGAATGCCGATTATTATTTACTTTCTGTTTGCATGTACTCATACCGGTCAAACAAAGTTCTCAGTCTGCCTGAACAGGTTTTCTCTACGTCGCCATTCAGCTTGTACTTATGTGACGGTTCCAATCTGGTTTGTACTTATTTTGAGATGCCTTATCAATACATTTTATAACAACCAAATGTAAGTGATTTTGAATTATCTCCTCGATTTATTGTTGGAGCCATTTACGCATTGGTAAAGTCATGTATTTTGTAAACATTAAGTTATACAGGGGAATGGCCACTGCTGTTACTGTACAGAAGTATAAATAGGCCTACATTGATTTACTTGGTTTCAGTGCAGGCCGGTCATCTGGGCCTTTGAAACAATGCACAATAAGGCACATCCGAAGAGGGAAGTATGGCCAGAAATGCCTGGTTCTTTGAACCTCCAAATTCTACAGGCAGCACAACAATTGGAGGAAGAAGTAGGGATCTTGGGTTACATCACTGACTTCTCATCGATCGCCTAGTTTAAACAAGAACTGGAAACTTAATCAATATTACTTCAGTTTTAGAATTGTTGGGCCTATCAAACTCTCTCCCCCATGACAGTATCTGAGAGTCTTCAAACAGTCCTCACATCATATTATGGCTTTTAAAGACTTCCCTAAAGATCATGGAAGTCACCAGCAGTGGTGGAATGTAACATTATTTGTACTTCGTTACTGTACTTAAGTTCATTTTTATGTATCTGTACTTTACTTAAGTAAAAATAATAATGCATACTTTTAATTTTACTCCATTACATTTTGTGGCAATTATCTGTACATTCTACTCCACTACATTTCTACAATTTATGCCGTTAGTCGTTACATTTTATGAACACAATTTCCTCCAAATCTTGCATGAAAAAATGTAGTTAGCCTATTGCGTTCTGGCGTTGTTTGCCATTTCCTACCAATCAGGTGGCTTTATTATCTCCAATGATGGCAGATGTGTTGAATAGTTTTGCAAGTACATAAATGATTTAAAGATATATCATGTCCTGATTGGTTTATTTTAATGGTATATTAGTGGGTAATACCTAGTAGATAACTTGTCATCCACATAATTCTAAGTTAGGGTACACACAGTATTGCAGAGTGCATGCACGATAAGCACACCAAACTTTCCAATACACATATACTGTATAGTTGCTTGTAATTATTACGAGCAATGACATTGGTAGGGGCGTAAGTCAGTATATCTACTATTCTTTTACAAAATGGCACACCGGAGACGTTGAGACAAACCATTGTGTGAGTACTTTTACTTAAAAAAATACTTTAAAGTAAATTTAAAAGTGAGTACTTAGTACTTTCACTTAAATAAGATTGTTGATGTAGCACTTCTACTTTTACTTGCATACATATTTTGCAGGATATTTGTACTTTTACTTAAGTACTAAGCTTCAGTACTTCCTCCACCTCTGGTCATCAGAAAACAAGGCCTTGAAGCTTGGTATAATCATTAGAATGATGTTCCTCTATTAAGCCTCATGCCAGCTTAATGACCACAGTCTAGCCATTGGTAGCAAGCCATGGTTCAATGTCAGAGACATGAAGGCTGCCATAGTTGCTCTCCCAGAAGCTTTATCTGTTTATGTATGTGCTTCCTGTCCCTCAGATGCGCTTCCTGTTGCTCTTCAGCCGGCAGGGAAAGCTGCGACTTCAGAAGTGGTTTACGCCGCTTGTGGAACGGGAGAGAAAAAAAGTGGTCCGTGACATGACCCTGATGGTGCTGGGCCGCCCACCTCGCTCCTGCAACTTCCTGCACTGGAAGGACCTGAAAGTTGTCTACAAGAGGTGTCTAAACCTCTAGTCTTTGCAATGACCAATGGTGCCCTTTTCTCTGCTAGACAGAATCAACAGGGTGCCCTGTTCAAACCGCTGTTCCAAAAGCATACAGCAGTGCCCCCCATGTATCCATGGTTGGTATATTCCAAGACCTGTTGTAAATAGCAGAAACCACAGATAACAGCGACCTAACTGTGGACTCCATATGTAGCATGAATTTTGTGTACTTTCATATGGAAACTTAACTTACACACAGTAAGACATTACCAAAATTCAATACAGTAATAAAAGTACATTGTAGTTATACAGTACTGTACTTTTACTGTACTTTCTCGAATAAAAGGGATTCTGATGTTTTTGCTTAATTCTCAAGAGATGATATAGCAATGGAAAATATTATGTATCAAGGGGTGATGGAGCAATTAAAATCAAGTTTTTTTATACCCCTCAAAGGACAAAAGAACCATGAAAAAAGTTACACATTTTACATTTCTTTGGATTGCTGTAAACCATGGGTAGGCTTAGCTGAAGCTAAGGTTACTGAAAGTATGGACATGGGGACTACTGTATATTTGATAAGTGTGTTAACCAGTCTAGGCAGCTAATTGAACTTATAATGATTGCTGTCCTCAGAGTGGGTATACCAGCCTGCGTTAATGAGTACTTGTCCATGGATTTACACCAACTCTTTTAAGAAGAGGTCTTTGCTGCAGCTGTACTAGCACTAGCATGCAGTAGTAGTTATGTATGGTGGATGTAAGAAATGTACACACCCCTGTTAAAATGCCAGGTTTTTGTGATGTAAAAAAAAAAAAGACATCACGATAAATCATTTCTCAACTTTTCCCACCTTTAACATGACCTATAACCTGTACACTTCAATTGAAAAACAAACAAACCTGTTAGGGAGGAAAATATATAAAATAGAAAACATACAGTAAGCTGGTTGTATACAGTAAGTGTGCAACCCCTTAAACTTGTTGAAGCACCGTTTGATTTAATTACAGCATTCAGCCTTTTTGGGTAGGAGTCTTATCAGCACGTCACATCTTGACTTGGCAATATTTGCCCACTCTTCCTTGCAAAAGCGCTCCAGGTCTGTCAGATTGCGAGGGCATCTCCTGTGCACAGCCCTCTTCAGGTCACCCGCAGTTCTGGGCTCTGGTTGGGCTATTCCAGAACTTTAATTTGCTTTAGGTGACGGCATTCTTTTGTTGATTTGGATGCATGCCCGGGGTCATTGTCATTCTGAACGGTAAAATTCCTCTTCATCTTCAGCTTTCTAGAAGTCACCTGAAGGTTTTCAGCCAAAATTGACTGGTCGTAACTGTTCATAATGCCCTCCACCTAGACAAAAGCCCCAGTTTCAGCTGAAGAAAAACAACCCCAAAGCATGATGCTGCCACCACCGTGTTTCACTGTGGGTATGGTGTTATTTTGGTGATGCAGTGCAGTTTTTGCACCGAACATACCTTTTTGCAATTGTGGCTAAAAAGTTCATCCTTGGTTTTATTAGACCATAACACATTTTCCAAAATGAATTTGGAAGATGATGTATTTTTTTATGCAAAATTTAGCTAGGCCTGGATGTTTTTCTTTGTAAGAAAAACTCTATACCATAGTCCAGACTTAAGGAGAATACGTGAAATTGTTGTCACATGTAGTACACAGCCAGTACTTGCCAGAAATTCCTGCGGCTCCTTCAGTGTTGCCTTAGGCCTCTTGGATTCTTCCCTGACCAGTTTTCGTCTTGCTTGTTCATCAATTTTCAAGGGACGTTCATTTCTCGGAAATGTCAATATTGTCCCATATTTTCCCCACTTCTTGATGGCTAGCTTCACTGAGTTCCGTGGTATATCTAATGCCATGGGAAAAAAATGTGTACTCTTCTCCAGATTATTAACTTTCAACAATGAGATTCCTTTGATGCTTTGTAAGCTCTCTGCGAACCATGGCTTTTGGTGTAGGATGCAACGGAGTAAATGCCAGAAAAATCCTACTAGAACAGCTGAACCTTAATGGGAGTTGATCAGAGTCACTTTAATTAATGGAAAGCGTGTACCCAAAAAGACTGAATGCCGTAATTAAATAAAAGCAGATTTGTTTTTCAACTAAATTGTACAGGTTATAGGTCACATTAAAGATGGGGAAAGTTTTGAAGTGTTTTGTTGTGGCCTCATTCTTTTACATCACAAAACCTGGCATTTTAACAGGGGTGTGTACACTTTTTATATCCATTGTAGATCTGCCATTTCATTAGTCATGAAAGCAGACTAGCATACCCTACAAGCAGTCAACAGAATGGGAGAAATTGACCAGTACTAACCAGTGCTTCTAACTGCAGGTATGCCAGCCTATATTTCTGCTGTGGCCTTGATGACAAGGATAATGAGCTTTTGGCTCTAGAAGTTCTGCACCGATATGTGGAGTTGCTGGACAAGTACTTTGGCAATGTAAGAGCTACGTGTTTGACAATGCATACATTTTATACTGGCCTGTTCAGAAATCTCATTTTCATTTAGATTTTTGTTACGTTTGCTTTGCAGGTCTGTGAGCTGGATATTATCTTCAACTTTGAGAAAGCGTATTTCATCCTGGATGAGTTCCTGATGGGTGGGGAGGTGCAGGAGACCTCTAAGGTGACTGTGGCCAAGTCCATTGAGGCATCAGACATGCTGCAGGAGGTGAGACCTTTGCATCACCGTGTGAGCAGCTGGTGGACATAGCAGCACATTACTCCCTATTTATAATATTTTAGACTTACGGGTGTCAGTGTGGCTCAGTGAATAGCACTGTTCCCATCTCCATCTCCTGGGTTTGGGGTTTGATTTAGTGAATCCATGTGCAGAGTTTGTATGTCTTCCTCCTGTCATGTGGGTTTCCTTTGTCTACTCTAGTATCCCCCTGCAATCCAAAGATATGTAGGTGGGCTAAATGTTGTTTCTATATTTCCTGTCTGTATGTCTGTCTACTTTCTATATATGTCTGTCTGTTTACTTTTTGTGTATCTGTCCACTTTACATGTATCTGTCTGCAATCCATGCACCTCACTGTCCGCTTTGTCTGTCTGGAACTCTCTGCCTCTCTCTGCAATGGGCTGGTATCCTGTCCAGAATGTACCCCTGCCTTATACTCCTGCCTTCCTGGGATAGGCTCCCCACCCTTGCATAGCTCTGTCCAAGATGGGTGATTGTGGATGGATGCTATAAATATACCTCATTGCCACCCTTTTCTATCATTTGATTATTGAAGCTGGTAACAGATAGCATGAGCTGACACTCTGGGTGGCTCTCTTTTTTCTGCAGACTATGGAAGAGTACATGAGCAAGCCTGCATTCTGATGAATTGCCTGCAAGCAGCAAAATGAACTGGAGAATCATGCTGGTCAACCAGGCTGTCATATATTGTGTAATTGTTGTGCCATAGCGTCTGATGTGGGGAAACTCTGCTTAATTTGGACTGCAGATGCAAAGTGGAAGTTCGTGTTTATTCACCTCAGTTCAGCCCAATGTGTGTGATGAATTCTTCTCCCTGAGTATGAGTGATGAACTACAGTATGAGGCCAAGTGCTGGTTCTCTGAAGCAGGACAGTAGTTTTAATGAAGTCTCTGTTTTATATATAGGCATACGATGCTCTGGAAATAGTAGGAAATATGCAAATTATTTTAGGAACATCTGAAATCAGTATACAATTCTTTTCTGGAGTCCTTTTGAATGATGTTGTTTTGCAAGTGCAAATGTAGTTGCAGTATGGTTTGGGGTTTTTAAGTAATTGTTTTTAATAATAAATAAGCTCAATATCAAGTGTGTCAATGTTGGGTTTGACTTTAAGTATCACTATATAGCTTTAAATCCTGTTGAAATGTGATTAATAGTGTTTTTTCCCTTCAGATTGTAGGACATTTCAAAAACATTTTTTAAGTGCTCTGAAAAACTATTTGTGTAAAACTGTTTGTGGGGAGTTGTTGCAAACGGCATGTTGCGTCAATGTTTCAAATCAGATCATCGTCCTCAGTAAGAAGCAAATACCAGTTGACATTTTATTAACCTTGAATAGTTTATACTTTATTGAACACACATGATATACAGTTGTAAGAAAAATAAAGCTGGACAGATTATATCCAACACTTTTGCATCTTTTCAGGAATCATTGGCTTGTAACTATCAGAAATACACTTCACAATGTCAGACATCACAAGGAGTAAAATCTGTCCTTGATACACAAAATTTGAATAATTTTAATGTACAAATTATGCAACAAGGTAAATGACTTTTGATAATTCCTTTTTCCCCCCTCAGTATTTTTTTCATTAAACATCATGGCATGAGTTTCTGCTACATCCCCCTGACTGTTTTATCATAAAGATTCTTCAGTTGTTTCTCTGACTTTGGGATTAGATAGCTCATCTCTAGTAACCTATCATCCTCAAGACCTTGTGCTTTTGGTGCCTGGACAGTGTATTTTGTGGGTTTTCGTGTTTTCAACAATGAGCTTTTTTCATTTTCTGGTTGGTCAAAGTAATCCTTTAAGACTGACTCATACGCCCCGTAGTTAAGATGCTCTTGTGGTTTTGGGGTGTGTTGGTCAGCCTTTTGCGCAGTCTGCTTGGAGTTCTGGGCTAACATTTTGGCAGTAAGAAAATTTACCAGATCTTCATCTACATTGCCATCATAATTATCTTTTCCCTTGTAGGGCTTGGGTGGAATGTAGAGTGGTCTGCCACCAGGGGGAGCATATCTTGAAGGCAAATCCCTAAACTGGCCTTGCTCTTCAAAATGCTCTGCATTCTGCCGTTCTGGGCTCTCCAGTCCTAGGATGCCAAGAATGTCTTCCACATTTGAGTTATCTGGAGTTTTCGCTTGCTTTTTCGGAAACCCTGCTTTAAAGATTCTGGTTTCTGGCCTTTTTTCTCCATTGTAGGATACGATTCTGGCTAATTTTTCTTCATCTGTAAGCAGTGGTTCAGGTTCTAACTCGGATTTTGGCATTTTGTCATCTTTGGTCACCTTCCCATCCATCACCATCTCTATTAGGTCCTCAGGATGGATTTGTAGTTTTTGTGAGATTTCCATCAGTTTGTAAATTACAATGGGGTCCAATTTCTGCAGTAGTTGAGCTATTCTTCTTTTGCTGTTCTGTTCCTCATCCCTCTTCTCAGTTTGTGGTGTTTTATGTAAGATTTTCAGCAGGTATTCATCCAGGAGTTTGCTGAGATCATCTTGGTCTTCTTGGTTTCCATATGTAGGCTGTGTTGATTGCTTAGAGTTACCACCATCGCTATGGTTGTCTTCCAAGCTTCTATCAAACTCCTCCCGGCTGTCATTGACCACCTCTTCCATCTCCATCCTCTCCTCCATAGGAATCCACTGCTCAACCCCAATTCCATCTTTGTAAGACACATCCCTTATGCTGACAGAATTTCCCGGGTTGCTCCAGTCAAGTGTCTGGTCTTGTCCCAGGTTCTGGTGTTTTATCTTCTCCAGCTCCTCAAACACAGATTGTAGGTTGGCCAGACTTTGTGGAGTGTACTGTAGTTCTGCAGCTTCATTTGCACGCTTGGAGGCACTTCCATGGGGTTCTTCATCCTCAAACATAAGCCCGTATTTCTCTGGAGGCTTAGGGTAGTCGGCATAATCTTCTATGTCTCCCAGCATTGGTTGTTCGCCATCTCCAATGTTCTCTCTGTTCTTGGGGGTGTAATGGAGTTTGGGCAACGTTGCCTTGGGCTCTACCCTGGTCTGTGGCAGGGTCCTCAGCAATGCATTCAGCCACTGCCGGTCCTTGCTGTCCTGACCTTCACTAGCATCCACGAGTTCTCTTGCGTCATCTTCTGTAATCGGCTCCTCTCCGGCCTGTTGCCGGAGGTTCTGGATGTACTGTAATGCTTTGAGCATGTTGGAGCTGGGGGTGAAGTAGGGGTTGGAGTGTCTAGACTCCGCTATCCCACCATGCATGGAGGCACCCTGGACCCAGGGCTGCAGAAAAACAGAAAGCAGGACAGCTAATCCTGCCATTGAAAGCTTGGGAATGGACATCTTAATGTCACCTGAAAATTACAAGGAAAATAATTAGAATTCTTAATTTCTGCTTTCTCCCAGAATGGAATGGAATAATTATGCTTTACTCATTCCTATGGGGTTTTTGCAAACCTCATCTTGCTCTTAATGATACACAACTGACAATCTGCCACTACCACATTTTTTTTAAAACAAAAAAGACAATATAGCATAGTCAGTAATACATATTTATATGCATTTACCACTTGTTTCCTTGAGATTGTAAGTACGTAATACTATCAGGTTATAAAGGAGTTGTCAATGGTTCAAACCTTTTTCATACCCAGTTTATCCCAGAATGTGTTCTGCGCTAGCTGTTTAAAGTATATATTTAAATATACGAAACAAAACTATTTTAAAAAGCATTTTTAATTAAGATCTTAATTAGAAAGAAAAGAAACTAGACGCAGTACAGGCGATTTTAAAGATACCTACAAATGATACCTTAGTCACCTTTCACTCGAGTTTAATTAATCGTTGTCGCTTAAAACTAACACTCGATACCAATAATTACACATGAATTACAACACGATGAATCAATAAGCCGTATAAGTAGTCTAATTACAGTTCAACGACTGGCAGCATCTTTTAAAAATCGTCTTATTTTGTTTAATATGTTGGAAGCCTTGGCTGTATTTACACAAAACTGAGCAAATGGCGAAATCTTTACTATGAGGCGAGGAAACGATGCACGGACCCGATGTTAAGTATTTAGTTCTGTTCATCTAATATTTGAAAACCACTATTCATTGAAATGAAAATAAATAGGAACATCGTTTATATAATTTATTATTTACTTTGTATCTATAGCTACCAACTTTCCGGTGGTAATCTGAACGAGAAAACAAAGCGCCGCATCATCATTCTGCGAAACTGTACATCTGATCTCTGTTAATTTCAGCAAAAATAAATAAATAAAAATACTCACGACCAAGAAACCGTAAATAATTCCCTTTAAATAATAACAGACATAAAGGCAAGAATGCTCTTGATTGAAATCACACACAATAATTTGTAATTTATCCATCGAATTATTTCTGTCTAAGCTTGTGACTAACATTCTCAATATTTTGCCGTACTGTAAAAAAGTGACAATTTTATTCGTTTACACGTTACAGTATTTCTTTTCTGTTGAGTTATTTCCATCTACTGCTGAATGACTCATTGGTTGTCAAGGAAACGGTGCGGCTAGTTGCAATCCACCAGGTTATTCGCCGAGATTTAAGAAAATTTTTAACATAAATAAAGTATCCATCGTTTAATGCATCGTGTCAGTGGGTAGAATCTCTTTCGCATTTCCCATTCTCTTGGCAATCCAAGTTATAATAAGTCATGCATCTATTCTAGTGAGAAAAACGCGAACTGAGCAAGCATCAGGTTGTGGATTTGCAGTCATCAGTACATTAGAGTATCTTGATTCTGTCACTCCTTTAAAAATGAAGCATCGCAAGGAAAACGCGTCCTTACCTTCGGAAGTGGCTCCGGCGACAGTAGCCGTACCCTTCTGATTTTGGGTCGTGATCGGTGTTTTTTGCTGCCTTCAGGACCCGGACAGCTCCCAGTCATTGGAAGCGCCGCCTCGATCGTGCGTCACTGGGACACACGCAGTGCAGAGTCCGCACGTCCAGCCTGTCTTGTCGTGATTCTGGACGGCCAAGCAGCAAATAATCGTGCAGTCGTAGTCAAACCAAATATTCCTACACTTTAGGAATCGCGGTTGCTTCGATAACAAATAATGATGTTGACAATAGACGTATTATCATAATGTCATCATTATTAAATTATTATTTTATATTCAGACCCGCTCAGTTTTTTCGCGTCCCATTTACTGTAAAGGGTCTCATCGCATGGTGTACCATGCAACGCATTTTCGGCTTCATAGGGAATGGTCTGTTGAGCGATCAGTTCAACCAACAAAACTCGATACTATGATTATTTTGCAAAAAGGATTCATTTTTCTATTTGTTGTACCCATGACCAATATTAAATGTGCTGTTTATCTTCTAAAAAACTTAGTCGATGGGGAATAGTACTATGAATAGTTTACTGTAGTAATTTGCTTTGTGCGCATGGCTGCGCATCTTATTCATAAACCCAAAAAACAGTTTATTTGTACATAATTGCACGTTATTCGTCAGATTTTAACATTTCCCAATATCTGGCACATACGTTTAACCTCGTTTAGTTATTGTATGGCTATGTTCACTGTCTATTCAACAATGTGAGCGTAAAGAGGATGCAAACATTATTATAAATCTAATACATTACTGACTACTATCAACTTACTATGCATGCAGTTAACATACCTACTAACGCGCAGGCGAGAGATGGTTAATACTGTCGACGGTGACTCAGATGCTATATCTGAAACACCGGCAGACATACTCGATGCACGATGCATAACTAATCCCAGATTGCTGTCATAGACATTGTAGTGAGTCTTACCATAAGACTACTTTTTCCATACATATTTTTGCACGCAGGGAGCAGTGTGCAAGCATTGTGTCATATAAGCATATTAATATTGATATCGTCTAATAAATATACTACTCCCCATTTATCAAAAATCTATATCCTTATTATATTGTTATGAAATTCATTTAATAATTTATGCTATTTTGGTAGCAGATCTATACTACCATCTGGGGATGCAGATGCATATAAATGACATTAACTGAAGTTAAAATGTAAATTGTATTCGTCCTTATACTCCTAAGATGAAAACATATTTACAAACACACACACACCCGAGTATTAGCCTACATATATATCACCAAGCACCTGTTTCTGTCTTCAGACCTTTCCATGTTTATATTTAGCGGTTTACGAGCTCCACACGTTCAGCCACCATTACCTGAAAAGGTGCCCCAGAACACTTGCAGTTCTAGTGCCTCGAGATTTCTGTTTCAGTCTGAGTCTGTTATTACTAAGTGTGTTGGAAAGACCTCAAAGGATCAGCGAACACGCCTTCTGGGGGGGGAGACGTGAAAGCCAGAGGTAAGTGCCGCGCCAGTGGTGCTGACGTCAACACACCCCGGGATTTGGCCACGTACATTTTAAGGGAGGGGTGCAGCAGGAACCGAGCGATATGAAGTATTAAATGGCTGCCACTTTCATTGCTGTCGTGTTACATGTAGAGTCTCCTTCTCTCAATTTAGGACCTGAAAATCACACTCCCAAGACGCTGGCACCTATGCGGGTCACTCCAAAGGCCGAGAAAAAAGTAGGATGCAGGGTCTTACCCCTCCCTCGTGTACTGGACCCAAATAAATGTCCACAATAACCAGACGTTAACACGTCAGTCTGTGGAGGTCTTGCGATAACTTTTTGTTACTAATATAGGTAAAATAATTTGGACTCTTTCTGTGATCTTGTTGCATTTCATATATTCACTTCATTTATTTTAACCTCCTTTAGCTCCAAATGTTAGAAGTATGGGTATCAATCCACCTTTTCATTATCTAACTCTATGCATTCTAGAATTATCATGGACCCAAATAGTTGCATCTATTTTTGTTTAGCATGGCATGCAGAGCACAGATGCTGGAGCAACCAAAAGAATGTGTACAGAATCTGTTGTATTTCTCAGACAGAGTTGGAAAATGTCATACTCATATTGTGCTATTCATTAATGATGTGAGGTCTAATTGAGAACATAATGTCAAACGCCTGGTTGATATTGCATAGAAAGGAGCCAGCTGATGTGGTTCAGGAATCAAGGAAACTAGGATGCTGCCTGCATGCCATGTCCAACCAGGAGGAGACCCCGGAGAAGATCCAGGACACACTGGAGAGATTATACACTATATTGCCAAAAGTATTGGCACACCTGCCTTTACACACAAATGAACTTTAATGACACAAGGTTTAGGAGTGTGTTTATGGGAATTTTTGACCATTCTTCCAGGAGAGCATTTGTGAGGTCAGGCTCTGATGTTGGACGAGAAGGCCTGACTTGCAGTCTGCACTAATTCATCCCAAAGGTGTTCTATCGGGTTGAGGTCAGGGCTCTGTGCAGGCCGGTCAAGTTCCTCCACACCAGACTTGCTCATCCATGTCCTTATGAACCTTGCTTTGTGCACTGGTGCGCAGTCATGTTGGAACAGGAAGGGGCCATCCCCAAACTGTTCCCACAAAGTTTGGGCCAGGAAAATGTCCAAAATGTCTCCGAATGCTGCAGCATTGAGAGTTCCTTTCACTGGAATTAAGGGGCCAAGCCCAACCCCTGAAAAACAACCCTACCCCTTAATATCTCCTCCACCAAACTTGGCACAATGCAGTCAGGCAAGTACCGTTCTCCTGGCAACTGCCAAACCCAGACTTGTCCATCGGATTGCCAGACAGAGAAGTATGATTTGTCACTCTAGAGAACATGCATCTCCACTGCTCTAGAGTCCAGTGGTGGCATGCTTTACACTACTGCATCCGATGATTTGCATTGCACTTGATGATGTAAGGTTTGGATGCAGCTGCTCGGCCAAGGAAACCCATTCCATGAAATTCTCTCCGCACTTTTCTTGTGCTAATCTGAAGGCCACATGAAGTTTGGAGGTCTGTAGCTATTAACTCTGCAGACAGTTGGTGACTTCTGCACACTGTGCACCTCAGCATGAGTTGTCCCTGCTCTGTGATTTTACATGGCCTACCACTTTGAGGCAGAGTTGCTGTTGTTCCCAATTGTGTCCGCTTTGTTGTTATACCACTAACAGTTCAGGGGTGTCCCAATACTTTTGTGTATCTATCAGCTAGCCCGGGAGCACCTTGGTATCTCACAGGAGGAGCTAAAGGAGGCAGCTGGTGAGAGAGAGGTCTGGGCAGCCCTGTTTAGACTGCTGCCCCATGACCCGGCGCCGGATACGCAGCAGAAAATGGATGGGTGGATGGACTTATTTATTAAGTACTTATTCTTATATTGGACTTCTTGTCCTATATCTCAGTACTGTTTATTTTATCCTCCCATGTCCAGTCCCAACTGTGGCGCAAAAAATCCATTTTATTGCCTGAATAACTGTAACAGTAAAACTTCTGACAGACTCTGTAGTGACAGAGATGTTGTTTTCCCTGCTTTCTTTCTGTCCAGTAGCGGATCCTTCGCCTTAGCTTGGTCTGACTCAGGACCGCCCTTCCCCCCTTTCCCCAGAGTCACCGAAGACGTGGAATGACGCATCCTCTGACGCTGAAGTGGGGGTGGAGAAGCTTGCCGTTTGTTGTGTGTCTTTTTAAGTGTTTTCCCCAGTGCGTTTCGTCACTTAGTTTTCATTTAGTGGTTGCTGTTTCCTGACCTTGGGCTTCCGTCAATCCGACAATTGCAAGCCTGCACTTAAAATAGGGCGCTGAATACTAAAACGAGAGGTAAACCGCTAACATTAAAATATTTAATTCTGCACGTTTTGTATTGAATTAAAAGTGTCCATATCCAGATTTCCTCCTGCTAATAATAAGAAATGCAACCCTTTACAACTCTAAGCGCGCAGAAAATGAAGAACAAACAAAAATGTTTGTTCACCATAAATCAATGCAATTATTCTTCTCTGTATGTTGTGGGGTTTTTTTCCACTTTGTCGCTTTTCTCCCGACAAACGGCAGGAGGTCTCTTTCCCTCTTTCTGCCACAGAGTCATTTATTAATGTTCTCCACCTACCTACCTGCTATAAATACCCTCAGCCAGTGAGTCATCAGCCCTATTACCAGCCCTACATCTCTCCCATCATGCCTCGGAGCGGCTAGGTGCAATGTGGGTGGCCCAGGAATCCGGGAATCTTACGTGGAAGCGCGGGGCTCTCAGGCGGCTTGACCGGAATAAGAATACGGAATGTACCAGCATGCTCCACTATTCTCTACGTGTCCCACTGCTGTCTTGTGAGCTTTCGCACCTTGGACACGTACTGAATCACTTTCAACCCATCGGGCACGACGTTTTTCTCGAAAACAAATACAAATAGATAACTTGACTCATACTACTCTGAGTCAATGTAGCTCATTTTGAAATCTGTATTCTCTTATTCCTATATCGCTTTAAAAAAATAATTTGAAATTAATCAGCGGCGTTGTGTATCCCAGTAGGTTAGGACTCTACTCGTGATCAGAAGGTTGCTGTTGCAATATTGCAACAGCAACCTACCCACGTCACATATGCAATACGTGAAATGCACAAATTGTTTGCAATTTTCTTTCTTATTTATTTCCGTGTTGTTATAGTATGGTTGGGATTGTCTTTTTCTTTTGCTATTCTATTTTTAGGCTGCTGTAACAAGTAAATTTCCCCTGTGTAGGATAAATAAAGTTATATCTTATCAAATCCTGTGGCTGGAGAACGATACTGTTGTTAGGCCCTTGAGCAAGACCCATATCCTGCGTTCGATTATTGACACGCATGGTGCCGGGATGTGTGCGTAATAGGTGTGTCACTTCCGGATGTAAGCCGCGATATCTCTGTGGATTAATAATGCAGTCTGTTCATTTTCAGTGACTCAGTGTGAAATTGGATAAAAATCACTATTTTAACTGTGAAGAGGGCGCGTCATACACATTTTCTGATTTATGTTTCTTACGTTGGATTGCAATGCTAATAACGTGTTATTTTGCTGCTTTGTCAGAGAAGAATGCTTATATTTTCTTTTTGTGAACTGTGTTGTATGATTGCTAAAACAGATTTTACTAGCACATTGAAACAAGTTGAGAAGCCAGTGCATTGTATGGCTCATATTGTCTACACTCTACAGGAAACGAAGGAAGCATTGAAGTTTACAGTTCTTCACTTTGATAGCAAAAGTGGTTTATAATTATGTGCAGTTATCAATACGAATATAATTAGAGTGATATCAATAATTTAGCAGGATCTTACGTCAGTACCTATAACCAGATGCTCTAAATATAGAGTAGTTGCTATAGAAATTGCAGCTTCAGTGACTGTAAGGAAAATACATTTAAAATACCTTCTCCACATTCAATAGCATATACAACGTTCTATAACAGCGTAACCAACACAGTTAATTATATGAATGTTTTGTTTTGTGGGGTGTAAACCTTTTTAAAAGTAGTGTTTTCAATAAGAAACTACATGCACAATATTTATTTTTGTTCTGTTTAATTAGATTTTTGCCATTTCTGAGGTTGGTCGAGACCCTCACCCTATTCCTTGGGTTTTTAACATTCAGTAACCATCCATGCTAAGTTCCAGACATGACGACTCCGCACCCAAAGAGCTTCTTCCCCCATTCCACTGTTCTCCTAAATAAGGTCCCATGAGAAGCTCACTGATCCCCTGGGGCTCCTTCCCACACATACTCAGCCACTATACTTCACACTTCCACTGACTCCAAGCTTATTTGCACATCTCTCAAACTGCTATTATCCCACATCTTGTCGTTCCCTTATTCATATGTCTGCATGTTTGTTTCTTAATTAACTGCACATCTTCATATTCTTTATTCAATATATTATTTTGTGTATTTCCATCTTGACAGTATGTTTAAATTGCATACTTCTGCCACCACCAAAACAAATTCATTGTACGTTTTGTACAAAGCGAATAAAAAGATCATGATTGTTTACAGTTTTGCACTTTGTGCAAGCAGAACAGTCTTCCTCTACTGGCACTGAGAGGGAGCGACAGGGTTTGTTCATAACATAGATATTGTTTAATAAAAATGTTGGCATTACTGCAGGCAAAGAGTTTTGAGAGAAATTAAATGTGTATTGCAGTAACAGTAATTCCTTTCATATTCAAATGTGATTAAAAGTATACAATCCAATAATTAAACGTGTTAACATGGGCTGTTGGTAGCCATTGATTGCCTGAAGAACATTTCATGGACTAAGACAACACAGATGACGCGCAAATCTGAATTAGATACATGACCAACATTCTAAATCTTACCCCTCAGATTCCTAATTATGAGGCAAACACCCCTAGAAGCTGTAATATCTGTAACGATCCTCATTTGAGACTGTAGTACATATTTCATATAATTTATCGCTAGTTA